AAAAAGTGATTATATGTCGATTTGGTTTGTCAAATTCAAATCAAATCTCAAAAACGGCGAAAATTCCCTTTTCATATGCTTTGTATAATATGCGTTTTATACTTATCATTAAATACAAACGTTATTGATATAACGTATGTCATATTAGAAAATAAAAATACATGAAAAAACGTCCATTGGTACAAACCAATAAAAATAATAAAATATGCAAATATTATATTTGAATTGGTTTAATAAAAGTAGTTCATGAAAGTATAATACAAAAAGTAACGAATACGTCAGTGGAATATTAAAAATATTCTTACCTTTTTAAAAGCATCCTTCTAAGGTGTTAAATGACAGCCGGCTCTAACGTCCCTAGATAATGAGGGTGTTGAGAAGTAGGTGACACTAAAAATAATAAAATCCTTCATTCATCCGCCCAACAACTTCCTATCCCTAAACTAAGCAAAAAATAAATTACAAAATAAAGTTTCAACATGGGCGCCCAATTATTTTTCTGCTTTCGGAAGCTTATTGGTTTATCTTTTTTAAATAGAATGTTACATTGGGTTTCTCGTGTATAAAAAATGCTAAAACTAAGGAACAGACAACAGTTGTGCTAAAATATTATTAGTTGCAATTATAACTATAGTATAGTATATTAATGATTACATTTACAATTCTTATATTATAATTATATTAATGACAAGGGTAATAAAATTCACAGTACATTAAACAACATTCTTGGGTAATTGCATAAATTTGCATATGATTCTTTCTCTTCTTCTCTGTTAAAACCTCACATTCTTTTTACACACACTCTCTCTCTCTCTCTCTCTCTCTCTCTCTCTCTCTCTCTATCTATCTATCTATCTATCTATCTATCTATCTATCTATCTCTATCGTTCTCCCATCCTCTCACTTTCTGTGGTTATTTGTAGGAATGACCGTTCGCGACCTAAATTTGTGAGGTTTGTTTTGACACTCTCTCTTACTATTTTCCACTCTCTCCTTTTTTTCTCTATTTACTACTCTCTCTATTTCATTGAACTATTATATTAAGCTGTCTTTCTCTCTCTTTCCCCTCACCCTTTCCTCTCTCTCTTACACTCTCTCTCATTCTCTCTATTAATCTCTCTCTTTCTATTTATCTCTCTCTTCTCTTTCTTTCTATCTCTCTCAACTCTATCTATCTATATTTATTTCTCTCTGTACATCTTTCTCTAGATCTATCAATATTTCAAATCTTTCTCCTCGTTATAAAAAAATAAACTCTTCTGTCTCTCACTCTATCAATCTATTTATCTAATACCTATGTATCTATCTATGTACGTGTATATCTATCTATGTGTCTACATATTTATCTACCTATCTACCTCTCTATCTCTATCACTTTTGTTTCTCTATCTCTCTAACCTTATCTCTCTCCCTTCTCTCTTTGTCTCTCTCTCTCTCTCTCTCTCTCTCTCTCTCTCTCTTTTCCTCTTTTCCTCTGTCTATCTATATTTATTTCTATCTGTGTATCTTTTTCTAGACCTATCCATATATCCATCTACCATCTATCTTTCTCCTCGATATAAAAAATAATCCCCTCTGTCTGTTTCTCTCTCTCTCTCTCTCGTGTTTTTTCCCTCTCTCTATGAATCTATTTATCAATACCTATGTATCTATTTATGTGTATACAGGTTTATCTACCTCTCTATCTCTATCACTTTTGTTTCTCTATATACATTATTTTTCTTTCCTTTCTCTCTTTGTCACTCTCTCTCACTCTCTCTTTCTCTTCTCTTTTTCTCTATCAATCTCTCTCACTTTCACTTTTATATTATAAATGATAAAGCTACTATATTTATTCCAAGGTATTTGTATTAATCGAATTGTATAAACAAAAGATGCTTTTACAAATGGTTTGTATACTGTGTGGTGATTAGTGACCGTTAATGCGGTCTGGTGTGATGTAGGTTTCAGAAAAAACATTTTCTTTATCGTGCCAACATTTCGATCTTTATTGAGATCATCTTCAGGGCCTGGGATTTACTAGGTGTAGGTAATAGGTTTGTATACTATTTCAAGGTGTATTTAGTAGAAAAATTAGATAGTACCTCCATCAAGAGAATAATAAGTTGGAGATATTATCACGAAATATTTAAAATTACTGTGTAAAAGGGAACTATTTTCACAGGAAATTCGTAATAAAACCAATCCCTGTCGAGACAAAAACGGGTCAGTTGGCAATAAAACTAACGGGGCTCATAATCTTTTTTTTTCTCTCCTGAATAATTTCAACCCCCTCTGACTTGATAGGCGGCAGCAATTCTATCCCGCCAAAAAAGGGAAAGCGACGTTTGGCAGGAAGGCAAATTGGGTTCGATTATAGGGCGAAAGCTAATTTCGGGAAGATTGACGGGAGATTGCACTTGTTGGGACTGTGTCATCACGGTTCCTTGCTCACGGCAGGGCCCATTTGTCTTCGGGCCCCGCCGTTCCATTGTTAGCAGAAAACGGCCGAATCTCAGTTTCGCAAGTACTAAATAATATTTCATATTATTCCATACCTTATCCGGTCTCTTATTAAAAGTGGAACGACGACCCTGAAGAGAATTTGAAGGTCTTTCCCGTGTTTAAAAGAAAGCAAGTTCAAGCCCAAGTTCCTTGGGGAGGAAACTGTCTCTTCAAGAAACAAAAATATCAAGGGCAATGAATGCGAAAAATTTCAAAATAGTTGAAACAGGAAAAAACCTTCCTTGATAGAGATCAAAGTAATATAGTTTTCATAAAATGTTATTACAATTTACAGGCCCATGAACACCACTGAGGACATTTTTCACAAACCAAGAAGCACATTTATTATCCATATGTTTAAATATATATTTAAAAACATCATTTGGCTTAGAAATATCATTTGACTTGGAAACCGTCTCTTAAAGTATCAAAAATATCAAGGGCAATGGGTGACAAAAAATTCAACATAGTTTTTTTTTAATGGCTTTATGTTCTTAGCATATTAGCCAATGACAGTGTATTCGTTTTGAGGGGAAGGGTAGCGTAAAAAAAGGCCAGAGGCGACGGTGGGAATCGAACCCACGACAGCGAGTTCTACGAGCCGAGAGTCTCTCACGCTGACCACTCGGCTACCGCGGCCCCTCAACATAGTTCAAAAAGGAAACACCTTCCTTAATAGAGATCAAATTACTAGAGTTTTCACAAAATGTTGTTACAATTTACAGGGTCCATGAACACCAGATTTTTCACATACTAAGAAGCACATTTATTATCCATAAAATATATATTTAAAAAACATCATTTGACTTAGAAATGTCAATTGACTTGGAAACAGTCTCATCAAGAATCAAAAAAATCAAGGGCTAAAAAACATTTCCTCAAAATAGAAAAAAGAAAAACTATGATCAGTTTTAAAGACATGTATTAAATAAAGTATTTCTTTTTGTGAGAGGCGAAAGTATAGAAATACTTCCAGAAATGTTCCATTAAAAAAATATACCAATTGTTTTAATGATTTTCTGTTTTATTTAAAATCCTCTAAAGAAACCAACAATCTTATTTAAAGAATCAAAGGTTAATTTAAAATTAAATATGAAACAATAATTAACGCAAATGGAAGCATAAAAAACAGTAAGGTTAAATCGAAAAAAGCGTGAACAAAGAATGAAAAGAAAATTCAGGAAAGAGAGGGCAAAGCCAACTCGGCCGCAATTTAATTGCTGAGATAATGAATCATTAAAACTAGCTATTGAACAAATTAAAAACAGAACAAAAAAAGAAAACTCTCGTCTAAACATTTTATTTTAATCATCTGCTAGTTTAACCCCTTTAATTTAATAATTACTTCCGTTAATTCATTACGATCGATATACTCGATATACCATTTTACTCAGATATCTTTTGACCGAAACAAATCTACTATTACGTGTTTTTTTTAAATAAATATCGATTAACGGTCATTAATCACCACACATTTCTACTATTACGTTTTCACATAATTGATGAAGTACAGTTTTTTTAATTAATGTATTATTACTTGTTGTAGGAGGATTGTTTTCGGGCAGGCAAAATATATTGATCATCCTTCTTGTTTGCTCTTCTTTTTCTTTTCCTTTGAACTTGTTTGCAGTGGAAAGACTATTACTAATTTGAATATAATTACCAAAGATGTTACGGTTATTATTCAGGTTATACCTTAGTCATCAGAAACTATATTATATTTTGTCCAGCTCATTTTTAAGCTGTTATGAAAGAAAGTGTTTCAATGTCCGAGACTGCGCTGATTTATGAGAATGACAACGTGCGAAGGCGTAAGTGATCCTCCTGACACTGAGTATGATTTGATTGGTGGGAAAATTGGAAAAAGGGTAGAGAAGAGGAGACAATAAGATTTTTTTTTTGCCGTGGAAAGTGAGTGTCACGGAGTGTTGCGGCTGGTCTGTAATCGCTTTTCAGCAAAGTAGTCTTACTTTTTTCCCCACCGAGTTTTTCCTCTTTCTACTATTCCTTTTCATCTTTTCCAATATAAGTTGGCTATCTTCCTAGCCAATGTTCTAGTCAGAATTTTTAACCTGTGTGGAAGTGTTGTCATTTAAATACAAAAGAGCCGGTCGATTGTGAGAAGACACCCTCTGTCAATAATAAACAATGAAAATTAAACAATCCGCTCATTAAAATTCCTGTTAATAAACGGTCAAATTTGGTAAATAAACTCTTAATTATCATACTAATATTATAATTATTATGCTGTTAATTTGCTTTTGAAAAACAGATCGTCTTTTGAAAATATTTGTTTAGAACTGACTCATAAAACTTGGAAATTTAAATTCGCTGAGGCAGAAAAATTTAATTATCCACGAGACTCCAAATGCTGCTGATTTAATTCCCAATAGTCAACTTTTTTTTTCAGAAGAGCTGAAAAGTTTTTGAGCCGTATCAAATATGATAATCAATGATACAAAACTACATGTTTAAACAATAATTTTTTTTTAAATCTTGTCGATTTCTTGTTACAGGTCGCAACCGGAAAAGGGACTATTTCTCATTATTTCAATCTCGTGGTCGTCGTTCCGACAGCTTACATCCTGGGCACAGGCGAATACCACATCGGCCAAGGCAGCACAATAAGCCTTGTCTGTATTATTGAAAACGTGAGTAAAGCTTCACAATTTATTCAAATTAAATAAAAGTTAAAATTAAATAAAGTAAAAGAAAATTATAATAAATATAAATTTTCACGAAGGTGGCTATAACAAACACATATAAAAAAAACTGATATCTTTATCACCCATATTAAACATAAAATTTAAAGCCTGCCGTACAGCATTAACTTTATTTTACAAAATGTAATATGACTACCTTCAACATCTGGTTTTTAACAATACTTAAAAAGATTATTAATCGGGCCGATCAATGGTACAAATATAAAAATATAAGAAACGAACGCCCATAGGAGTTTCTACATTTTACGAAACTTTTGGTTGGGATGGTTTTATCAAACTTCCTGTAACGGATGCGAATTTGAGACAAAAAAGATTTAAGGCAGTATGGGTAGTTTTCTTGGACACAAAATTAGGAGCATCAAGGATGCAGAAGACTATGGATTGGGATGTTTGGCCGAATCCCACACTTGCAGTCCGTAAGTCTTTAGCGGCATCGCTAAATTTGATTTCATAAAAGTAGCCTTTTCTTATGATAAAGGGTAAGTCAGGGCGAATAAGCCGTGAAAGAGGTTTGCATCGTGTCATAGCTTCTTGAAATTTTGGTCGTGTTTCATTATGACACGTCAGACATTTGTCGATGTACAGTCCTTGATTTTGCTTCTTGTCTTGTTTAGGATAGTACTGAAATGAATGTAAAAAATGGTCTTTTTACGGCGAGTGAAATTTATGTGGGTAAATTATTCTGTTTTATTATTTTATTTTAATATCAATTCTCCAACTGCGTGAGGTGTTGTTGAGAGTTTAAGATTAAAGCCACAGTATTAAAAGATTATGGGGATTATTCAGCCAGCTTAGAAGAGACGGTGGATGTGCTTTTGAAAAAAAATCGTGCTGTATCATGACCCCGCACAAGGACTTGCCAGGCCTCAAGATCAAAAGAATTTTAATAGAACAGAATCCGAACACTATGGGCAATGTTTCTTTTACAAGCGAAGAGGTGGAAAGAGCCCTGAATGGAATGCGTTCAAATAAAGCCCCTGAGTGGGATGGATTGATGAAAATAATCTTGCGAAGGATTTATCGGTTTTATCCGGCACAGTAGCTAGTTTGTATGTGGAGTGTTTCTTGATGGGTGTTCCCGGCTAGGTAGAAAAGGTAGTTACTGATAATCTTAGAGAAACACAGAAGCTCTGCCCTCGATGAGTCATCTAGATACACCAACGTTTCGATCTTTATTGAGATCATCTTCAGGGCCTGGGATTTACAATCACTGTTTAAATTTAACAAATACATGTAGGATGTGGAAAAATACGACCTACCTCACACCAGACCGTATCTGACGATTTCCGAATAATCATAGACTAACGGTCACTAATCACCACACATTTATAAAAAAATTTTGACAAAAAAACAGTACAATTGTGAAAAGATAAAAGACAAATTTTCAAAATTACAATTAAAAAATGACATAATAATTAAAACCAACAGAAATTTAAAAATATTTATTATGATGCCTACATCCCCAAGAGAATGAAATTAAATACATCATATAGGTTAAGATCGCACATGTTGAGAAAAGTGTTGAGAGTCGAGATGAGGCATCTACATATACACAAAAAACATATTGATGAAAAGTATAATTATAATTAAGCATTAAATTAATAAAATGATTATAATTTATATAAGTAAATGATAAATTACCCAGCTAAAAATCCAAGGACAAAACGAACGATCCAACTATTTAAGCTTACATTACTATTTTATAAAACTTTCATCAGGTACTGGTTTTTTGTGTTCACAGACTAGTTAATGTTAAATAATACAAACCCGAAAAATAACGATTAAAACATTAAATAATAAAAACAGGGTGACCCTCCATCGTCGCCAGTTGGACGGCGGTTTGATAAAGTTTCAAAATCCTAACGGTTATTCGAAGGTGTGGAGCGCACTCTATCGTTCCCTCTTTCTTTACGTTTTTTGTAAATGCCTATTAACTTCGCATATGCCATGATAGATCCTAATCTGTCAGTTTGCAGGTTGCAAGTACTAGGAGTTGCATGGATGTGGACTTTCTCATACAATAATTTTTTTTCGAAACCAGTTTCTCGACTAAGAATCTCAGGTGAATCAAGTTGAAAAAATCGACACTCTCAACAGTATGTGTTGACAAACCCGTTGTTAACTTTTTATGCACACAGCCTAATCTGTGTTGGTTCAATCTAACTGATAAATTTTGTTTAGTTTGTCCAACATATTGTGCACTGCAACCTGCGCACGACACCCTATGTATTACATTTGATTGAGAACCGACCTGTTCTTTGGACTTTAAATATGAGTGTAAGTTTGTCAAATTGTTACAGTATTTATAAGCTATGTTTACATTTACTTTCCCACTGATTATTTTTTTTAATTTTTTGGGCTATATCAGGAATATATGTTATTGAGGAATACTTAAGTATGAAATGGGATGTGCTGTTGGCGTCCTTGGATGTTCAGAGGGCATTCGGCGCTGCCTGGTGGCCTGGCATAATTTGTGCTCTCAGAAACAAAAAGTGTCCCAGAAATCTCTATCGCAGTTCTCGTGACAGTTTATTAGGAAGGAGATCCTGTTTGAACTTAAACTATCTAAGTAAAAAAGCACAAGCTACAAAAGGTTGTCCGAACGATCTTGCTGCGGGTCCGGTTTCTCGGTTATAACGTTTGATTCGCTTCTGAACTTCCATTTTTCTGGCCGCTTTGTAGTCATTGCTTTTGCGGATGACTTTTTAATACTGACAGCGGAAAGAACGAGTTGGAGTTTAGTGCGGATGCTAACTGTGGCTAGTTGAAGATTGGGCTCAGAGACGAAAATTAAATTTAGCAAAATAAATTAAACCTGTTATCTAGAAAAGAACACCTCGAGCGGGAAAATATAGTGGTTTACATGAACATAGAGAGGCTGGAAAGAATCGATAGTCCGAGAAACCTTGGTGTCATTATTGATCAGAAGTTGAGCTGTACGACCATATTTATGAAAAAAGCGGGCAACTAGTTAACGTGCTATCTAGGGCGGCTGAATTAGCTTTTAACATAATCTACAAACGTGTAGTGTTTATTGAACGTTAGTTAATGATTATTTGGAGATCTTGAAATGCGGTCTGGTGTGACGTACGTTTTAGAAAAAACATTTTCTTTGTCGTGCCAACGTTTCGATCTTTATTGAGACGTTGGCACGATAATGAAAATGTTTTTCTAAAATCTACGTCACACCTGACCACATCTCACGATCTCCAAATAATCAAAATCTACAAAGGTTCCTTGCCTGTGCTCCTTTTCGCCGTTCCTGTGTGGCATTCCGCATTGAAAAAAAAGAAAATTTAAAGGATGCAAATTCTGATTCTTCTGGCTTATTACAGGATACCGAACTATCTCTTATAATGCGGCAAGTGATTGCAAAGCCGATTTGTTTTTTGGCGGAAGAACTGACTCGGCTGAATTGATGGTGCGGAAAAGTAATCGAAGGGTTGGACGAGAGCACACTGGACAGTCTCACAAATCCCAAGTTTATTTAAAGGCATTTGTTTTATAACTTTTCTCAATTACACGCATCTATGTACATGTTATTGATATCAAGTTGAAGTTAAGTTAAGTTGAAAGTTAAACTGTTGTTTTCTCAGTGGTCGATTTTCAAGTTTTCAACTAACTACCGTATTTCAAACGCTTAAATCTAACGTCACATATCAACCGTCAACTAACAACTACATCATGGACCTTCCAATCGCGAGTTGAATTTCCATGACCGATGAATACGATAGCTAGATAAACGTTGAAAGTATTGGGATGAGATCCGACAAAACCATTTTCATCAAATTTATTGTAATGATAGAAGCCCGCCCAACTGGATTTGAGCTTACAACCCCCAAAACAAGTGTTGGTGAGTAGGACCGTTAGTCGATAATTATTCAGAAATCGTGAGATGACGTCTGGTGTGATGTAGGCTTCAGAAAAATATTTTCTTTATCGTGCCAACGTTTCGGTCTTTATTGAGATCATCTTCAGGGCCTGGGATTTACAAACATTATTTAAATTTAACAAATACATGTAGGATGTGGAAAAAAGTGATTTATATAATGCAAAATATATTTGTTATATTCAATCAAAGTATTTCTACTCACTCAAAGTGTTTGTCTTCTATGTAATTGTGTCATTCTTGCGTGTCGTGTTGAGAGTGCCAGTGAGATCTATTAAATACAGTCATACCATAACTTCCTTTCACATTATCCTTCCTCACTAAATACGTAGATAATATATTTACAGCAGTTCCCACAGATCAAATTCAAACTACATTAGATAGATTTAATAGCTTGCAACCACGCCTACAATTTACACATGAAATCGAAAACAACAAAAAAATACCATTTTTAGATACACTCGTAATAAAACAACCAGATGGCACTTTAATCACAGATTGGTATCAAAAACAAAGAAACACAGATCGCTNATTCATACAAATGAGTAATCCTGTAAACGTAAACAGAATATTTTATATAGATTTTTTTTAATGAAAACTTAAAATCCTGCATTATTTTCCGGACAACCCGATACATTAAGCATATCAAATACAAACAAACCAGCATACATTTCCATGCCATTCAAGGCCTGTCTCATAAATTAAACACATTTCTCTCGTCCGATAACTTCAAAATAGCTTTCCAAAATTATAAAACAATTCAAACACTTTTTTCCAAAATTAAAGATGCCACACCAATAACAAATAAATCTGACGTAATCTACAAAATCAATTGTTTAGACTGTCCGGCAACTTACATCGGTCTTACATCTCAATATCTGGACAAGAGAGTAACATATCTATGATTGCAAAAAACCCAAGCAAAAGCCTACAGCACTCCGTACCCACCATTTTGAGCACAAACAAAATTTCGACTTCAACAATCCAAAAATATCACACACAGAACGTAACTTTTTAGAAATGGTTTACATCAACAGAA